TGTGTTTTTTTATTTTTAGGATGATTTAAATGTCATACTTTAAGCCATTGCTTAAATTGCTCTGATATGTTAATTAGTTTTTCAGTAGCCTCTAAGTTTGTTATCCATGCCCAAATTTGGCCCAAACTCTCAATTTCAGAAAACTGTCAGAGAAATGCAAATGTCAAGCTTTGTTCCAGTATGTGTCCATGAGATCTTTGGAAAAAACTTTATGTGGACAAGTGACTTTGCTTCATCTTTCAGCAGGTTCTGAGACACTGTTTGCTCTCTTACTGAAAGCAAGAAATCAGCTTGAGCTAGACGTAGAAAAATTGAGCTTAAAATTTGGCCATAAAGACCAACAACTTTCAAAATACCTTTACCTAATGGAAGTCATAAAATAACCTTGATTTCATAGTGATCTTTACTGATTATTGCTATATTTTCGTCAAAAGGAATGCAGCATAGCACTGTGAGAATAACTAACTACAAGTCTGAACTCTGATTCCAACTACTGATGATTTGTTTGTACAAAGATTAAAGTATAACTAAATAAATGGAATGAGCTATAACATGCTGTCATTCAGCAATGACCTGCTATTACTGCTGTGTTCTTCAAGTAAATAACTTTGAAAATATATATTGGAAATAGCCTAGCATCTTTACCTTTCATAATATCAAACCAGAGTGAACAGTAAAGTTTTTACTAAGTTACGTAACCGTAATGTCAGATAAAGCTGTAAATTTGCATTGTGTCGGTAACCTGCTGTAGATGACACGTGATCTTTTGCTGTAAGATTTTGAGCTAGTAGATGTACTTTCTATAGTTCCATTTTTCTCTCCAAAGTGGTGATACCTATCCTTTAATATTTTTGGTGTTTGAAGTTTCTAAGGAGTTGTAATCTTTTGTATTAGATGATCTCATGTGCATTGTTCCTATGGTCTTTTCTGAGCAAGAAAGTAGAAGATAAAAGAAATTGTGTGTATAGGCTTAAAAAAATAAGGAGATTGTAGAACAAATCAAACTGAAGAAATTTGTGCATTCAATTTAAGTAATAGAATACTTAAATTGCATGTGAGCTTTTACTTCCATTTTCTACTGACTTCAGAAATGCATTATTATTATTGGAATCAAGACCTAACTCACTAAATCAGAGACAAAAATAATTAGCCTAATTTTCCTTTAACAGCCTAATTTCTGAAGGTAACATGAATGAGGTCTTAGATCTTGAATTGTGGAAAAAGGTAAAACATTGTTCCTAGTATTCACCAACAGTTCATGACTACCTCAGAGCAATTGCTTTTCAAGCAAGATGGCATACCTTGGCATGAAAAGAAGGGTACTATACTGGTATTTTGAGCTTGGACTCTTCTCAATTCTGTGAACACTCTCCAAAATTATTTGTTTAAGGGTTACTTATCTGGAATTGCTTTGTATTTCTGCACTAACCCTGATGTCTGACTTCTTCCTTTTTCCAGTTCCAGTATAATAGACATTGTATCATGAGCTTTCACTTTTTCATGTCTTGTATGTTGAATAGAGAGGAAACGTAGACATCTGTCCTAATTTGGGCCTGTTGTGATTTATTTTTGTTTGCATTATATACTTAGCTCAAGAAATGGGAAAGCTGAGAACAAAGCCTCTTGCCTAGGTCTAGCTGTTAAGCTAAATTGAACTGAAGTTGGTGGACTGAAAAATACTGCTCTTCAGTGGAAGAGAGGTTATGATGTCTGTAGCATGAGGAGTTTTTAGAAACTGAACTTTTTAAAGAGTGGTTTGCTACTCCAGTTCATTATGATGGACATGAATTTATATTGAACTTTAAACTTGTTCAGCTTCAGCAGAAAGAGCTGCTCTACTCTACCCCGGTCTTCAAAGCATTGGTCTTAAGAACTTAACACTGTTTTGCCTCCTGATAAAGAGATTCTAACTCTATACATCAAAAAAATTAGGCAAAACCCCCGAACTGTTGTAGGTGAGCTGTTGGTGTGTGCTTGATTAACCTTCGGTAAGGCAGCACCGGAGGGCAATCACTACAGAAAGAATTTGCAGAACATTGAAATAAACGTGCTGAATGCGGTGTAGTTGTTCACCAGCCTTACCCCTGCTTCTCTATTTGGTGGTTTCCCATTTCCTTGTGCAATGTGAGTGTTTCCTGCTGTTTGGGTTTTCAATTTAGTTCTCAGCTTAGTTCACTTGGGATTTTGCAGTCCCAAACTTAATCTCTTTCTAGGTTGTACCATCTTGAAAATCTAGTGCTAAATCAGCCTTGTGAAGTTACGTGCCCCTTTTAGTGTGCATTGTTCTCTTCAACTGTACAAGTAAAAAAGGATTCTTCTCTTACTGTAACTTTTAGTAATTGCTGAAATATGTAATATTTGGTAAGGTTGGAGCTGATGCACTTTTGAAGAATTTTTAATTTCCTGTTCTGTTTGAGCTCGTTGCCCGGAATCTATTCATGATCATAATCACTGTTAAGCGTGCGTTGTTAACAACATTACTGCCATGTAGTTAACTTCAGTTCATTATACAGTAGTAAAAATAACCATGGATGTCTGTAAATGTAGGTTTTGTGTACTAACATGGTGATGGAACCTGCACTTTATCTTATAGCTATTTCAAGATGATGTTGGTGACGTGCTTTTACATTTTCCCCCAAGCAGCTAGCATTGGGAAATGCTCAAAGTGAATTCGCAGATGGCCCAGCTATTACAAAGACTTCATACTGACAGTTGTGTTTTCTAGTATGGAGTTGCCTCAGCGTGGTGCAGGAGTATATAATTAGGGAAGCATAATGAAATGTGTTGTTGACAGAAAAGTATGTTTGGCATCTCAAATGCTGCCCTCCTCTGACATCATAAGACTTCTGAGGTTCTGATACAAACATAGTAAAGTGGCTTATCTAGATTTAATAGTTAACACCGTGACATACTAGGTTTTTATACTGTGCTTTTTTGTAATGCTTTTGCACATCAATGGCACATGTTTTTAACTTTCTTATGTTTTTGTGGGCACTGTTTGTAATTGGTCGTGCTCATTAAGGTTTCTGCAGTATAAGAAAATAATGCTTGTTCATACTAATTTGGAAGATCAAAGCATGGCATAGAAACAATTTATCAACTAACAAACCAAAGCTGCCTCTCACACACCTACATTTTGCAGAGTTGCATGTTAGTTAAATACCTTCTACTTCCTGGAAAAATGTAAATTAATGGAAACGAAAAGAAGTAAATATATACAGACAGTTTGTTCTCCCAAATGTTAAATCCATGTTTGTTTTAAATGGCTTCCATTTCTCTGTGGAGATTTTCCATAGTTGGTTTTATTATTATTCACAATGCCCTGCTATGTAGGTTCTTCTGGTTTTTTCCTGTAAATACTTACAATACTATATGTAAACAAAATAATTCAGGTAAGACTTTGAAATGTAACAAAAGCAGGTGGTTCTGCCTCAAGTATTCTACCTTTCCTTTATATTGCTCATGTTTTAGAAATGCGTATTAGCTATTTTCACCTCATACGTCCCCTGCGGGAATGTACAATGTTTAATGTTCTGTGTCACGCACACAGATCTTAAAATTTACTTATCCCTTTCCATCATTTAGAATGAAGTACAGTAGTCCTTTGTGAACATATAGGAAGAGTGCTGAAGAACAGTTGGAGCAACAGTTTAGATAAAGGCCTGTTATGTTCTTCTCACCTATATGTCTCTGACAAAATAAATCCGATAAATGGTAGTCAGCAAAGGGGTAGCTTCCCAAGTGAATATTGTTTTGCTGTGTATTGATAGTCTGTGTGCAAGTATGCAGTTAAGTATTTAATAATCACTTTATTGTCCAGTGAGAAATAATTAGTAAAACATTTAATATTTGGTGAATTTTTCAGTATTGGTCACATGAGTCATCTTTAGTTGTAGCTGTTAAACCTAAGAAAAATCTGCGTTTCTGCTCTTAGAGAAGAGGCAGATGTGAAGTGCCAGAGTCGGATCTTGGGCCTTAAAGCTGTGGCTTTTATTTGTGGCATATGGGAAAAGAGTTAGAGCTGTATAGCCATTAGCAGTTTGCTTAGGCCTACTTTGTGTTACAATTACTTGGTATTGATAAGTTTAGCTTTCTTTGAATAGTGAAGTCAAACAGAGTCTGGGTTCTCTGATCACATACAGCACTCCGTGTGATGCGACTTGTCAGTAGCATGGTGCTAGCAGCATCTGACTGCTCAATAAGCTGAATGTTGTACAGCCTTGACCTCTTGAGTTTTTTCTGCTGTCGGTATTCTTAAATGAAGAGGGGTCAGTTTGTGTCTTTTTAACAATGACTTGACTTGCCCAAACTACAGTCCTTTTTCTTCAATATACCTGACTGACTGTATACAAGATGTATAATTCCAATTAGTACTAGCACTTTATTGCATCTTTCTTGTACTGTTAGCACACTCATACAACATGACAGTTTGTTAGTCCCTTTAGAAAAAGCTTTATATGAACCACAGTCTTAAAGACAAAAGGCCGCAGAGCTCAGTGCTGATAATAGTTTATTTTAAGTTTTGTTGGCCCAAGAAGTCATGATAACATAGGTTGCCTCTTCTTCCTTTCAGTGATATTGCGATACTATGATATGAGAGCTAAAATGAGGGGATTTAACATCATCTCTTCACAGAGCTGTTTTTGAATTCTCGGTGAGCAAAGTAATTTAGGTGTAAAATGCTTCCAACTGGGGGAACGCAGGATATTAATGAATAGAAAAATCTTTGTAGTATTCCATAGGCATCAGGCAGAAAAATATTTTAATCAGTCTTTGTTTCATCCAGCACTGTTATTGTGTGATATTACTAGAGGTGTGATGATTGTTGTTTGTGTAGATGGCCTCAAGTAAGCTTGCTCTTGGCCTTCAAGAGAGGAGGCTGCTGATGACGTTGGATAGGTGTACAATACAAATGTAACAAACCTTGGAAATAAACTTTTTATGACAGTAGGGTAAATGAAATACCATGAAATCAGTTGTATCTCATGTTCTTCTTGCAGGATATCTTGAATAACCTTGATTCATGTGATCTTGAAGATGATGATCTCATGCTTGATGTGGACCTGCCTGAGGACCCGCCTCATGACAAAGGTTAGTAAAATAGCTACGCAATCTTATTGTGAAACTGCATTATGGGCTTAAGAGATTTTTGAGTTGCATTGTTTTGACTTCTCTTTTAATAAGCCAATACATTCTTCAAATTGTTTTTTCTTTAAGTAAGAACTTTCTTTTCTGAAATGTAGGAAGCATGGTATTTCTGTTCCGCCGAAAAGAACTCTTGCATTTGAAGTTTTCTGAAGTTAGAAATGGACTGCCTTTTATAAAAATGCAACCTTGTTGCACACTGTTTTTTTCTTTATATTGTTTCAGTAGAATAAATTTCAAGCTTTTAGGTTAGTCCTTTGGTCTTATGCTTGAGCTATACGTGAAAACATTGGAACAGCATGAATGACAGTGTGGTTCTTTTTGAGATAATTATGTTTTCTTCTACAAAATGACGGTACTTCCTTAAATCTTAAGGCTTCTGTTACGCTGTTTAAAACATTAGATGAGTTTGGTTTTTTTTTTCAATATGTCTTTTGTGCACTCTTGCTGTAAGTGAGGATGCTTTCAAATATTTCACAGGGAGGATAGTGGTACCTAGGTGCCACTAAAATAATACAAATCCAGAACAGAATGAATTAAGTAACGCAAATTATTGCCATGCTTCCTCAGATCCTGACCTGGAAAAGTTTGAGGCATTTGCTTTTGGTTGTGCCTGCCCTACTCATAAGAATTGTCACTGTCTTGTGAATGTGGATATTAGCTTTACCTCCAAGTTCAGTGGAGGCTAATGTATCTTCAGATGAACAGAAACCTTGAATGGGGAGCACTGTAATGCCCTACCCTGTACAGACAGGCACTGGAGGAATAAAGGCTTTCCTTATTTTGTGTACTGCAGCTGCCTGCTGAATTTTGGGAAATTCAGGTTTTTTGAGAGTACTTTTGAGTTCTTTGGGTCAAGAACTCCTGTGTGTATGTTACATACAAAGCCAAATTAGAAGTAAATAAAGGTGTAGTCTTCCATCTACCACAATGGTGGCACATCTTGTGTTGACAGTGTGCACATATGAAGTGGAGTACTTTTTTAAATCTCAGAAGAAGTTTTTCAAAGTACTTGTGTGAAAGGTGCTTATGAACAATAGTGCTAGTATTCATCTTTTCAGCCCAGATACACATACAATTTTTTTTTTTCTAGAATGGGTAACAGCCCAAGCCAAGGGATATTCTTTCAGTAGGGGTAATTCTGATTCTGTTGGAAAAAACTAAGAAACAAAAAAAAAGGGCAGATCAGTTTCTCCTGTTTCCTTGTTTACAAAACATGCACTGCATCTGCATCAGTGATTCCATTTCAAATTACTGATTTAAAAACTGTTAAAAAAACAGGTTTTTTAAAGGTGAATGTTTGTCACAAATCCATAAAAAGTTCATGTTTGCCATTTAATGTAGATGCAAATGGAATATGATTTTTAATTCACTGCTTTCTTAATTGCATCAATACAATAAATTTAATCCCAGTTCTGCTGCTAAGTATCAGTAATGTTTATGTAGCTGAAATATGTTTTGTGACTATGACAATCTACTGTGTAAGCTGCTGATTCAGGAGGAGAAACTTACTGTTGGAGATCAATATTAGCTAATTACTATTATTTTTGGTATTTTTTACAAGTCAGGTTTCCATATAAAATTAGTGTTGTGTAAACTGAGTATCTCTGCTATAATCACTTCTTATCTTGAAATCCCTGATTTTTTAGCAAAGAGGACCTGGAAGGAAGAAGTCAAAAGCTACTTCCAGGCTTTCCCTTCAGTTGCATGACCACCTGAAAAAGCAAAATTAGTTCATTGTTAATATCCATGTGTCTCTACTCAGTGTCTCAAATTCATTTTCAAAAGCTGAAAATCATAACAGAAAAATTATTTATAAATTTATTGATAGCTTATTTTGAATAGACCCGCTTGAGTTTTCGTGTGTTATGAGCTGTAGAAGGATGCTTCTAAAGGAAAATAATTCCTCTGTTACTTTAGGTGAACAAGTTTCTTTTCTTACCTGTTTTTCGGTTGTTGAGCTAGATGGTTAAAACTGAGTTGCAGATGTGTTTGTTACAATAATATTTAAGAACACTTTTTGCCAGCACTTCTTTTGTAAGTGTGTGTGACTTGACTGACGTCAGCCTCTGAAGGCTTTCCAGGTCTACTGAAACCCTCCTTGTTTCCCTTTGGAGCCTGGGATGCCGCTTGGACACTATTTATAGGAACAGTTCTAGCTCAACAAGTATGCAGTGAGTGAGGATGGTGGTTTTAAATCACAGGGTAGAGCTGGGCTCCCTTCCCAGGCACACGCAGGCTGGGAGCGGAGCAGGAAGGAAGGCCTGTTTACGAGCGTCTTACGCACAACTATGTCCGAGTAGGCAGCCGAACGCAACAGTGTTCTCCTGTGTAGAGTTATTCTCCTAGCACGGGACTGACAATGCGAGCAAAAACTCCTTGGGTAAGTGAGGGAGAAAGTGCGATGGCAGAATAGCAGTTTGTGACTTTTTTTCCTGTGTCTGACTGCACGGATAGCAGTTGTTTTGGCTTTGTTTCTAGTGGTTTACAAGCTGTTGCCAAATATAGCTTTTGTTCCCTCAAGAAGTTTGTGGAATCTGTTTTGCTTTGCGGAAGCTAGCGTTTTAAAGAGATTACTTTGCTTGTTTTAAATTGTGCTTGTTGTCCACGTAAATAAAGATTAAATGTCTCTGAAGCTGAAAAACAGATCAGATGAATAGGCCGAGATAGATATGTATTTTAAGTAATGAAACTGCTCTGTTCCGTACTGAAGTACTGGCCATTTTCTAAAATGCCGTCTTTTGTGTTTGTGTGTTTTTTGAACTTCTTAGAGGCCGGAAGATACTGTCAGTAAGAAAGGCAGGAAAATGTTACGTCTGGATTTTTTTTTTTTCTGCTCCAAAGCTCTGCCTCCTCGAAATGATTTTCTGCTTAAACCAGAAATAGAGTTAAAGCTGAATTCTGTAGTTTCTGCTACAGGTTACTCTCATTCTTGTAACAAGTTTATATGCTAGTTAAAATGTGACATCATTACAGAAGTCTGCTTGACAGTTCTAAGATGCATAGTTTTTTGAATCAGTTTAAAAAAAAATAAAAACCCACAGATTTTACACTGCATCTGTTACCATCACATAGTAAATGTTTTATGTAAAAGCTCTTTAGGAATGAATTTTATAATTTTTTTTAACTTTATGCTTTCTGTAGAGGAATGTGAAAATATGAGCCGTTATGATAGACAAGACAGAAATGCTAGGCAACATCAGGAAGGATTCTGGAAAAGAGCACCACAACAGCGATGGAATACGCAAGACCACTATCATCTTGGCCATACTGATCACTATATCCATGGTAAAAATGATTTGAACAGGTAAAGGACTTGTCTCTTTTCTCCCCAATAATTAAGATACTGTGATAAGAGCTCTGTTTTGGCACTAAAGGGTCTCGAGTGATACTGAGTGCAAGACACTTAGAATAGTTGTATGTCTGTAAATAGCATGCCTAAGTGGGAACATCACTGAGATTTATAATGATTTCTTTTCAAAACCTTTGTTTGTGTCACAGTTTTTAATCCACATATTTGTTACTTGTGTTTATATGATATTATAAATGCTTGACTATATTACTGTATGCGTTCTGTGGAAAAATATTACTGTCTTATTACCTGCATTTTGTAAGTTTGGATAGCTTTTTACGTATTAATTTTTTTTAACTCAAATGCAGTCCTGTAGTAGTTCTTATAGGCTAGCTTTAGTGATAGAGTTTATAGAAATGCAGATGAGCAAACTGGTTTTAGGATACTGTAGTTGTTAGTACATGAGAGAGTTATGCAAGTTGGAAGGAAAGCCCAGCATTTAAGTGAAACAGCTTTGACATTTTCAGATTTATTCATTTTCTGCGGTATGCCACAGTATGTGAATATAGCCCATATTACATAGCACTGTGTTTTTCACTAAGTGCTCTCTAGCTCTGGTTTGTTGTTCACTGTGGTGGTATTTGGTCTTTTTTTGTGTTGGTTTGTTTTTTTTTTTTTTTTTTTTTAAATATACCAGACACTGTGGGTTTTTCATCTTAAAAGAATCAGTTACTGGAAGGCTCCCAATTCTTATGAACATATCTTTTCTAAAGATAACAGCAACTCATCTGTACCCATGCTGACTTTATATTGGCAGCGTATGCACTCTTCATGAAACTAAAGGCTAAAGATGAGTTACCTGCCTGTGTGTACCCTCTGAAACTTCTTTTGTTACTGTCTTTTTGTATGCAAGATCAACGCACACATTCTCAATGCTAAACGGTGACAATAGACTAAGGTTTCTTTCCATTAAAGTCTTTCGGAGACAAAAGCAAATCCTTCATTTGTAGCCTTTCATTTTATCTGTGGTGTATTTTGTCCCAATATCATGTGCTGTGAAAAAAAAAAATTAAGAAATATTAAAATTGATCCGATTGATCAAACTTGCATTCAGCAAGTCAATGCTAGTAGCTTTTTCTTAAGGCTTTGTTTTCCTCATCCTATTCATCTTTTCTGTATGTTTTGAGAAGAAGTTTGCGAATCCTACTGGGTCATCTCTATTGCTAGTGCTCAGATTTAACCTTGCTAGTGTATGAAATTACTGAAATGTCATAAGCTTTTAAGGAGCCTTTTCATTTCACCTCAAAACTTGGCAAACTGCGGGAGTTGGTAAACTTCTGGATGACTTGGCAGCTTTTCAGCTACAAAAATTCCGTTGCTGCCTTAAAGTCCATGGGGCTTTCTTTGGAGGCATATGGAGATTAGCACTGAAAAGTGTGTGTATGATGTTCTTTTTAACACTAGGTTTTCTGCTGTTCTTTTCTAACACAATAATGTAATGAAAATAAGTTTGTGCCCTAAAAGTAAGACAAGAAAATAAAAAGCAAATCAACCTTGAGGCTAATTCAAGGGTATGACTGTGCCATTTAGAAATGTGAGCATTTGCTTCTTATGGTAACTGAGAATACTGGAGACATTTTTCCACTGACAAAATCAGAAATAAAATTGTAACAAAAATAATGTACTGTCACAGAAGGAAGGTGTGTTCTTAGAACCTGACGTCTGAGTGGTGGACTGCCTAAACTGTGCCTCCCAACAGCCTCAGGCATGCAATTAATACATGAGATAGCAGGGAAGGTTTTATCCAGGGCTTTTAATGCCTTTAACACAAGGACAATTTAGCAACTAGATAGGAGACCTGTGTATGTGTAGTTCATTGTGTAAAGGTGTGCCTGTTACTGCCAAATAGCATGTGGCCCTGCAGAGTACTGTGTTTTAAATCTTGATCTAGTTTGTAGTAGCCAGACTTTTCTAAAAGGTTACAGAACACAAACCTTGCTTTAAGTAGCTCAGACTAATTTAAAAAACCCCTGAAACTCGCAAAAGAAACAGTTACTCCTCATATGTACGTTCTTCAAAATTTGCTGCTTTTCTTGCCAAAAGCTTGATCATCTCCCCCTCCCTCCCCGCAGTAATGATTTTTGTAATAACAAGTAGTTTTGGTTTGGCCTGGATAAATGCCAGGTGCCCACCAAAACCGCTCTGTCACTCCGCCTCCTCAGCCGGACAGGGGAGAGGAAATGTGATGAAAGGCTCGAGAGTCGAGACAAGGACAGGGAGAGATCACTCACCAATTACTGTCATGAACAAAACAGGCTGAACTTTGGGAGAAAAGGGAGTATAATTCATCACCAAGCAAATCAGAGTAGGATAGTGAGAAATAAAACCAGATCTTAAAACACCTTCCCCCCACCCCTCCCTTCCCAGGCTCAACTGCACTCCCGTTTCTCTCCCTCCCCCCCCAAGCGGTGCAGGGGGATGGGGGATGGGGGTTATGGTCAGTTCATCACAGGTTGTCTCTGCTGCTCCTTCCTCCTCAGGGGAGGACTCCTCAC